TATTCTTCTCAATCACTTACTGGGACTCGCATGTTCGCTTGCATTGGCAAAGGTTGTTCTCTTATGTGTCGTCGATGTGTTCGGTATGTTAATCGCACTGTTGCCGGAGGTGTATGTGTGTACCTTCACTTTTTTCGAGAGTACGAACTTTTGTTCACTGCTAAGTCTTCATGCGCACTCGTGTGCACAGTGTTTGGTTTTGTGCAGTCACTAGCTCAACTTTGCCTGTCTCCTTCCAGCGATGTTGGATCACTTTCACTTCGATTTGGTTAATCTTTTTACAGTAATAACCTGCCCTCAAAACAAATTTCTCCACAAACGCTTCTACATTCGTCCAGCACCATTATCCGGAATTAAAATATCCTTACATTATCGACCGTTCTAACTCATGCTGGATTCTCGCTAGGAGGTTTTAATTTGTCGTTATCACCCTCTGCGCTCCTCATCTGGACCATTGGACCGAGACGAGTAGACAGGCAATTGTGTCTGAATCAAGCTGAATATTATATATGAGAGCTCACGAGTACTCGCCTTGCCTACGGCCTTAGTCTCTGATTAGGGATAGGGAGAAAAGGAGCTGTCATCTCGATGTTGCTCGTTTCCCTAAAGTCATTGCATTGGAGCAAGCCAGCTGTAAAACTTGTAGTTAATAGCGAATGAAAGGAGAAGGAAATCCATCATAGTTTTCGTAGCCTAGGGTTGGACTAAAATATGGCTGTCCCTCCTCGCAGACCTATAATTGTAGTTATCTCAGGAAGTGACATTTTACCATACTCCTATGACTTCAAATTCATACCAATTCGTTATCTTTCTTTGTCTCCTTACATTGAGTCATTTTTGAATAGGAGTAAGGAAATAGTGCGATAGGTCGAACGCTTAATCGCGCTTGGTTCTACGCAACGGTTGATCTAACTTTTTCTTAGTGTATGCTTTCTTCGTCGCCGTCCTCCTCCTCCTCCTCCTCCTCCTCCTCCTCATCATCATCATCAACAGCAGCATCTTTAGCAACAGAAGTAACCGACGACTGGTCGCGTAAACAGGACAAAGAAGTTTCGGTCGCTCACTTGAGTAAACTGACGGACCGCTCCCGACCAGCCCACCAAAATTTCTGTTATCACACGGATTGCTTTTCGGTCGTAGATTCCAAAGAAAATAAGTCATTAATGGCGCAATCTTTGCCTGCTTAGCGACCCATGAAACACTGTGAGAAGGTAACACGAAAAAAGTTGGGAGGGAGGCCTTAGGGGTATTCAGTGAATTAATCGATTGTTATGTTCATGTTGTTGCGCATGCTTTGCGTCAATTTATATTGTGTGCTGTATCCTCCTGCTGACTGTCTCTTCCATATTGCTCTACAGACGAGCTGCTTGCCCAACTGCGCGGTCTGCCAAATCCAATGCAGACTACGGATGTCGCAGCCCTTGTGGAGTTGACTCTGGTTTACGCGCGCAATACACCAAGCTCCTTTTTCAACAACTATCTGCCTTTGGTGTTCGGCTCGCCACCGGATCTTAACAACGAGGATCGTCGTCTGCTCACCGATGCGCTCAGTCTACTTATCTCGGTTGAGGAAATTCTTGACGCTCAGGCAATGCGTTTTGCCTCCGATGTGGATGAACTATCTTCCGCTGCTACCTCCTCAGGGGTCCGCTTCCTACTGGTTGACTGTCGACCTGCGGATCAGTATAACGCTGGACACCTGGCCACTGCTTTCTACCTTGATACCGAGCTCATGCTTTCCAATCCGCCGGAATTTACGACTATTGTGAAGGTGGGTGCCACCTAAAACTTCCACTCTCATCGGCAGTTTCTGTACATTGCTTCCCAATCACCGCCCTCTAGCCTGTTTACACCCCCAAAATACGTCGTCTTGTAAAAATACGAAAACATAGAACCAGTGCATGCAACCCATAGACACCAAAATTCTCTACCCGCAGCCGGAGCTGTTTCATCTCTCGTGACCAAAGCATGCGTCATACACGGCCACGCCAGATATCTTCGACTGGTTTTTCCCCGCCAGCAGAACCAGTTATCGATTGTGATTGCTGCGTTCAGCACAGCTTTGTGGGGACAGGTATCTAGACGTTAGTCTCCTAAAATGTATTAAAGTGATAACTTCTTCTAAATCATCCGTTCTACTGTAGTTATTAAATAACCGTTGCAAGTCCTGTAACCTGGAACCTCCCTCTTTGAGTCACTGACAGTTCGACCGTCGGTTTCGATTATGTTTATCGTGTGCTACACGATAGAGTAATGCAGGGACGGCGACTTGCACTAGATTATAGTAAATGTAGACGTGCGCTGCATCTACCTCACTATCTGTTCCATTTCCCTCACCTGTGTTCGGTGTCAAGACCGGAGATGGGGGCAGGTAGTTGGCAAGACGCGAGTATGCACCCACCACCCTTTCTTATGGGGACACAACCCAAAATAACGCTTGCCATACCCTGATTTGATCCCCGTGTTGGTCTAACGCATCTACCACGTGGCCCATTTAGGAGACATTTTGAGTCACTAATGTGTCATTTAAAAGCATATACTTTCCCTTCCGTGTTACTCATTTCCATCTATTTTAGGCTCTTCTACAGTCTCAGCAGAGAGGTATCGCTTCGGGTTCCAAAGCTGCTGGCGAACATATTGTTTTCATGGGCAGCGGACGAGCAGCAGAGGACCGGATCGCGAACATGGTTGTCGCACACTTCCTCCGCTTGGGGACGCCCTACATCAGCCTTGTGGACGGTG